TCATTTTCCCTAGCTTTAATTACAACAAGCTTCAGCTGTTTTTGTTTGTTTGTCTGTAAAAAAAAAAAAAAGAATTACTAAAAGGTACACATTTTTTAAAAATTTGAAAATTTTCTTAAAACTTTTTTTCCTCCATAAATATGGACTATTTTTAGGTGCACAATTCCTTTCTAATACTATTGTCTTCAGTATAGTCTAAGATAAATTGGAGAATGTCTGAAACTTTAAAATATATATCCTATATTGGGACAATTTAAATTTGATCAGATTTTATTTGTTATTGCATATCTAAATAAGAGAACATATGTTCAATTTGCAACCTGTCAGTGGTACACATGCAAGCAAGGAACAGAAATGGAGGCTTTGAACACTTTACAAGGAAAACAAATAACTGAAGTAATGAAAAATTGTTCTTGCAAGCTTAATAAGACATGTAGCCAAGGAACTACTCTGACAGCTTGTAGAATGCTTGTTTCCATTTTCTCTCTTTGAACTGATAAGTGAATATGTTTAATAAATGTAATGTAAAGCAATATTAAGTTTCAAATATTGGTAGATGGAGATATGACAGGATGTTTCTATGATTTTCAAGAAAGAGCTGCATAGACAAGTGCACATAAATCAGTGCTTTGAAATCCTGTATCCAGTGAATAGCAGCTATATGAGCAGTGTGAGGGAAGATCATAGAGTCATTGAGGGAAAGACCTTCAAAATCATCTAAGTAAGATCATCAAGTTCAGTCACCAACCTAACCTACCAATTGCCAACACTATACTATGACATTTATTGCCACATCCAAGTGCCTCTTAAATATGTGCAGGGATGGAGACTCCAAACATTTCCCTGAGCAGCATATTCTAATATCTAACCACTCTCTCCATGAAAGAAATTTTGTCTAATATTCAACTTAATCCTTCCCTGGTATAACTTGAAGCCACTGTGTCACATTCTACAACTGGTTTCCTGAGAGAAGAGGCTGACAATCTCCTCACTGCATCTTCCTTTCAGACAGTTGTAGTGTTGAAGTTTCCCCATAGCTTCTTGTTTTCCAGACCAAACAATCCCAGTACCCAAATTTGCTCCAGATAGGTCTCATGGATTTAACCTGCAGTCACTGCTCATGAGAATAAGTATTTCAGTTTGTGGCAAGAAATTTTTTTGCTAGTGCCCAAGCTTTCTCCATCTTGTACAAGGAACCTTCTATATGGCCAGAATCCCACAGCTTTATGCAAAGCGCATTAGGCTCATGGTGAAGGGAGCTGGGCAACTTGAGTTTACTTCATCAGGTTATACTAGCATTCAGATAGAGGAAATGAATTGGCTAGTTGGCATTTCAGGTTCAATTCTTAGGATGGCTCCATCTCTAACTACTTGGATGTCACCATTATTTAAAGAAACTATCCATAAAAGCTTTTGTTTTGACTGACTGCTCTTTCTGAACTCAGTATGCACAGTGAAAGTTGCATTTATGTTGTTATGTTCAGACATGGGCAGGAAGAGTTGAATTTGTTAAGGAGATTCCAAGACCACATTTCTCCATGTGGAGATGAGGATTGATTATGCTGAGAATTTTGTTATTTGCACATTACTATATAGTAGAATGCAACAGGTTGAGACTTGGAATTTGTGTAAAATTGCTTGTATCAAGCGGATAACATTGATTGAAGTATATGAAAGATGTACTGGCACAGTACTTAGAGAATATGCTGCAACTGCTGTAGAAAAACAAACAAACAAAAACATAAAGGTAAGTGAAATATTGTTTTTGATGGTCTTATGTCTCCACACAATGAGATGCATATCTGTAACCTCCTTTACACCTTTTTGCATGAGAAGTCTGTGACAAGTGGCAAAACATCCCTTAAGAAAAACAAATAAAGGAAATACAGCTCAGATGACATGATATGCAAGTTACTGTGAGGAAAAAAAGTGAGTTGATTGTATTTTTGCCAGACTGACTCTTTAATGAAACCAGACACTTGATAGAGTTCATTTCATCATCAGGTTTTAATGCCTATCATCAAGTTGGAGGCTAATCTTTAGCTATATTCATTACAAAGGTCACGGACAGTGTAATTGCGGGAAGTGTGACTGTAAAGAAGGATGGACAGGGAAGAAGTGTGAACATCCACGGTCTTGTCCATTGTCAGCTGAGGAAAGTGCGAAGAAATGCAAAGGAAATTCTAATTTACCTTGCTCTGGAAGAGGTAAGGACATTCCTGGTAGAATTTTCATGCTCTCAAAATATACTCCCAATAAAATAATTTTTACAGATATCTAACATTACCAGTACTGAAAAATGTGAACTTTCTTGGATCAGTGTGCATAAGTAAAACCTGCAAAACTGATCAGTTTTGAGAAGGAAGTAGACAATATGAAGGTGAAAGTGGGGTTGGAACTAGATGATCTTTAAGATCCCTTCCAATCCAAAATATTCTATGATTCTACAGTGAATGAACATTTATTTTGTGATTATTCAAGGAAGATTTGAAGATTGCTGCAGTTAAGTCTTGATAAGGGTATATTAAAAACATGAAGCTGTTCTTTGCAGTCTTTAATGGAAGCAGTTTTCAGTCTGTGTAAAATGCTGTGTCTAATTTTCATCTGTCAAAGCGTGAAAAGTGTTTCTCATAAATAGAAGAAAAAAAAAAGTAAATATAACACTAACTTTTACTAGAACTGATAATTGAAGTTTTTATGTATTCTGCCCACTTAAGTATTTGCTGGGAAAGGTCTAAAGCTGGTCTTGAATTATTGTATTTGACCCTAAACGTCATTTCATTTGCAATTTCTTCTCCCACAAATATTATTTAACATAACCAGAAATTAGGCTATTGAGCTAAGTTAGCACTGTAATAATCGTATTTTTAATCTTCCTGTGAATGTCTAACAACTCATAAGTTAGTAAATGCAGCATTAACTATTTCCTAAAAGAAACATAGCAGCAGTTGTTGCTTTCTTTTTCTAAATTAATTATGTTAGAATCTTCCACAGGGTTAAGTCACTCTACTATTGCTGAAAATTAGCAAAGGAAATATTGTGTACAAATTAGATGGAATGTGTACATCTGAACATTTTATTGTTCATGATTGCATTAGTTATAACTAAAAGAAACAAGACTGGAATTTATTACTTTTTTATAGGTATGTTTTAATAAAGACTCACTGTTGTCCTGTTCTCATTGGATGCTGAATGTTTATTTCCTCATTTGCTGGGTTGTGTATGTTGAGCATTTGGAGACAGTTATATGGTTTGCATAACAAAGCCTGAAATATGTATTCTCAGTTTAAAAAATAAAACATCATGCAATTTTAGTCAAATGACAGAGAAAAAAATACCATCATAAGTTTAATATGAATAAAAATTCAATTGATATTTTTCTGTTTATGTTTTAAATTTTGAAAAAAAAAAAATCTAAGCAGTTTCAAAAAATGCAATTTTAAAATGGAATTTGTTATCTTGATTTAATTCTATGAATCGTTTTGTTTAGGATATTAGAAGGGAAAAAGAGGAAGGCGATCATTTAGATTAATCATCTGTATTTTGCTGTGTTTTGTGATTTTCTTTTTCTTTTGTTGTTGTTGTTGTTGTTGTTGCTGTTGTTTGTAAGCCCTTCAGGTTTTGTTTTGGTCTTTTTTTTTGAGGCTGACCTTCCTGAATTCCCCTTTTTCCCACAGTATTCTGAATATTGGGAAAAAAAAAAAAAAAAAGACAGTTCCTGTACAGCTGAAAGAATATATGTGTTCAATTCCTATGAAAACTTATCATTGAGCCTGTATAGTTATATTCCTTGGGCCAATATGCAAATCCTACTACTTGTCATTATGTCTTGCCATGGACAGAAGTTACACAAGAAAAGGAAACAACTTATGGATTTCCATTCAACCACAGCTTCTGTCAAGTCTTCTGGGAGGGGGAAAGGCCATGGACTTGCAAAACAAGCCTCAGTTTTTCTGAAGACAGTAGGGAGCGTTCTGTGACAAGGAAGAGAAAAATTCCAAAGAAAATGGAAACATTTTCTTCCCATTTGAACATTAGTATTTTGATCACTTTCTTGTAATATTTTTCCGTTGACTATGGCACAAGGACAGTAAGAGTAAATCTACTGTTCTTCTGGAGAGATACAAAATGCCCTTATTTAATAGGATCTTGTAGAAAGGCTTGTCATGTATGGAGCAGAATGTAGAATGGAAAGCCTAGAGATGTAGAGTAGTTTATGGCTTTGCCTTGTATTTTGTGTCCTTGAAGAATGATTTCTGCTCATGTGTATCTTTTGTTTTTGGGTTAGCCAACAGTGATTCTGACAGCTGATGCTCTTTTGCAATCACTTTTATGTTCTTGAATAAAGACATTACAGACAAAGCACCCTTAGGATATTTAATAACATTATAGGTAGCCATAATTTTGAGGGAAACATAGTAGAATGCTGTAATTCATAGTCATTTTCTATAGCTATTGACTAACTGCTGAGATATGACAGATTTTCAGGTATAGGAAGTTGAGGCTTTAGTTGTGGTACTCTTTTCCTAAGATTAGCATAATTTGTATGTTTGTTTATAGCATTTTCTTAATGAAATGTTAAGAATGATTTCAAAATATGACAATTCTTCATTTAAACAGTACACAAATGAAGTTCTATTCTGTCTTATGAGTTACTGAAGAAAGCCTTGGTGGGCTGTTTTCAGTTTTTTGTGCATTTTGAAATGTTTTTCTGATTTTGAAGACTATAAAACTCCCAATGATTCAGTCCTTAAAATCTCCAATAATATTTACAGAAGGCAAACTATTAAAAATAAATTTTAAAAAGAAAGAAAAAAGATAAGAAAACCACAAATCCTCTATATTCTTCATGAATACAAGTTTGGGATTTGCATGTTTTTGTGTCAGTGGTTTGAGGCATTGGAAGTTACATAAAAACCTTATCTTTTGTTTTACTTGGTAATATTTTATAACATTAATACAAAATTCATGGCAAAATTATGCTCTTCAAAAATTGTTAATCAGTCTGAGGAACCAAAAGCTTCCATCTTCGAACTTCATTATGGGAAAACGGTTATTTTATACCCTATGCTTTCTTTTCTGCAATAATGACTGGAAAAGGAAGAGAATATTAATCTAATCTCACTCTTTCTTATGAGTCAGTGACTCAACATTTTTTAGTATTAATTATTCCTATAAGGATCAAGATTATTCATAGCTATTCGATGTCTCTACAGAATGTCCTGGGTTGAAAAGGACCACAATGATCATCTAGTTTCAACCCCCTGCTATGTGCAGGGTCACCAACCACCAGACCAGGCTGCCCAGAGCCACATCCAGCCTGGCCTTGAATGCCTCCAGGGATGGGGCATCCACAACCTCCTTGAGCAACCTGTTCCAGTGCGTCACCACCCTCTGTGTAAAAAACGTCCTCCTAATATCTAACCTAAACCTCCTCTGTTTAAAAGCATTCCCCCTGTCCTTTCACTATCCACCCTCATAAGCAGCCATTCCCCCTCCTGTTTATACGCTCTCTTCAAGTACTGGAAGGCCACAATTTGATCTCCATGGAGCCTTCTCTTCTCCAAGCTAAACAAGCCCAGTTCCCTCAACCTTTCCTCATAGGAGAACTATGTTAACTGTGTTCCCAAATTTTTACTATTCACCTAGAACACAAATAATGTTCTTCAATAAGCAGGAATATAGAAGGTGTCAGCAATGCAAACTAAGAAAGTTACTTGCCGCATGTGATACCCAGATTTTGAGAACTATAAGTCACAGAACCTCAATAAGGGGAATAAAAGATAAAGGGAGATTAAAAATAAAAGCACTGTAAAAGAAAGCTTTATAAAATAAATTGTTTAATGACTCACTCACAGGAAAAACAAGCTGTTTCATGGGTTCTGGTCAGCATGTGAAGAGAGCAGAGGAGCTGCCAAAAATATACATGGTCTGTTATTTTTAAGTTGTTTCAAGTAGATAGAGGTTTTATATTGACATACTGAGCTGTAAGTGGGAATTCCTATACACTAAAATGATGTAGTAAAAACAGAGGAAATACATATGCTCTCAGTTACATTGATCAGCAGCGGTTCCAGTTATACATGTAATGGAGAAAGGTTAGTGAAGGATCAGATGACAATTTTGGGAATACAAATATGCTATCACTAGGTATTTCCAAAAATTACTTTTCTTAAAACATCATATTGAAGAGGAGGATTCAAGGTGGATTCGTTCATATAAAATGAATATTGTCTTCTACACTTTTATTCCTAAGAGTGCTTTTTTTAATCACTTGCTCCATGACATTTCACTATAGATCTAATATTTTAATAATAAAATACTATGCCTTTTAAGGATATACTGTACAATAAGACCAGTCAGAGATAAAGGGGAAGACATAGTAAAAAAATCTTATGTTAAGGAACAAAGAGAGAGTTTATTTTTATCATGATTAAGGGACAAGGCAAAACACTTTTCTATCTTTATAGCGCACATCACTCACTTGAATATCCCCGTAGGGCAGAAGTCAGATGTCAAAATAATTATTACAGAAGAGCTTTGAGAAAGAGAAATGAAAATAATAAGAGTAGGTTTTGAGAATACTAGATGAGAGCTTTCTTCTTTTTTTTAAAATGATCTTGTAATTGTCACTTATCTTGAGTGAAGGCAGCCATACCGTGGCAATGATCCAAAGACAGATAAATGACAAATCTCTATATTGGTACTGTCTTTTGCCATTTTAATCTCCTTTCTATGACGGTTTTTATTTATTTTTTATATGGAGAGAATAAGACTACTTCTTTATCTATGAAATTTCCCTTTATACTTGTACATGTACAAATACATGAGCTACAAATTTTCAAATGGAATGCGTGGTGTTACAATCAGATGACCAATTCAAATATTTGACTCTTTACCAGACTTTTATAAGCCCTCTGTTGCCTCTAGTGTGGCAGCAAAGTATGAACTTTCCCACCAGCCTTCCATTATGTTTTGTTGCTGTGTGACAGATGACAGCAGAGGGACAGTCTTACCAACTGCTGTCTGACACGGATGTACATATGAAGAAAAGGTGTGTCACTGAATTCCTCCATGCAGAAAAAATGGCACCCATTGACATTCCTCAATGCTTACTGAACATTGATAAAGACCAAACAGTGAATGTGAGCACAGTGAGGTGGTTGGTGGTGCATTTCAACAGAGGCGACAGTGGCGTTGGAGCACC